GTTTAAGAATTGGAAAAGGGAAGTTATTACTACCATTATTTACAGACAGCATTGTTTCAGGTATAGGAAACTCAAAAGAGTCTATAGGTAAATGTCAGAATTAATGAGTGAATTTAGGAAAATCTTAGATTCAAAGTCAATGTTTAAAACAAATTGTATTTCCAGATGATAGCAATAAAATAAAAATATTTTAATTCTATTATTTATAATATCATAAAATATCAGTTCAATGCTAGAAACAAATCTAATGAAAATTACACAACATTTTTTCCTGAAACATTTTTCAGACAAGTTGAAGGTACTTACGGGCCAGGGATGTAGCTTAGTGGAGTCACAACTGCCTGGTAAGCACAAGGTCCTGAGTTCAATCTTTGGTACTGAAAAAAGAAAAAGCTACTTACACAAATGAGAAAATATACAGTTTGTGGATTGAAAACACAATATTGTAAAGTTTCAGATATCATTATATGCTTTATAGATTAAATGCAATCCCAGGGAGGTCCCACACAAGTTTCTATTGTCATCATACTGACAAGTTGACACTAAAACTGGTACAGATGAGCTACACCTAAGAATACTTACAACAAACTTGAGAAAGATTTAGAAGACTTTTAGAAAGCCAGGGTTAATATTAAGTCACACAAACGAAGACACTAAGTAATGGATGGAAGTACAGACATCAGCAAAAAGAAGGAGAAATAAAAGAGAAATAGAGTCCAGGAGCAGACCTACAATTATATCTTTGGGTAATATACAATGAAACGATCACTGCGGTGCAGTGGGGAAGGATGCTTTGTTCGATAAGCAATACTCAAATCAAATTGAAGTTTAAAAAATAATATTTCCATGGAATAAATATGACACACTGAACATATCACATAAACAAAGAAACTGTTTTAACGTTTGGGGTCTACTGTGGACAACTGATTTCATCAACTGCAGACAAGGTGTGGCATTTGCCTGGAGAATCCATAAATTAATAAATAAGTAATGAAAATAAAAGAGAGGATAGGAAAGTAGAAGGTAGACTACTGAAGACCCCAAATTGGTAAGAGGGAAGAGGTAGGAAAGGGAGAGGGGGTAAAGGGATTCAAATTGCTTAAGCTATGTTAAATGTATTTACCATATTCCCAAAATAAACCCCATCATCATGTAATAGTAACATGCACTAATAAAAAACATAGAAAAACAATGAATGCTGATGAGGATGAGAGAGGGGAAGCAAACCTCCTACATTATTGGTGATAATGTAAAATAGTACACCTGCTATGGAAATTAGTCTGGAAAAAAAAATTCATTGCTTCTGCTTTGTTTTTTAAAAATAACTTTGACTTTAGCAGAGAAAGGACTGGCAGGTATGTGAAGCTCTTAGGGAAGAAAGGCTTTATAGATATTTATGTGGATCTGTTTTTCTAGATTGGGTATTTGTTTTTTATTATTTTTAAAGGGTAAATATACATTTATTGTAGGTTTCTGGTACATATACGTGACACATCTTACATCTTTTGTTTTTCTCTTCCCTCTCCCTCCCCTCCTCTTCAGACTCTTGAACCCCTTCCCAATTGCAAAAGATCTATCTTCCTGTTCATTTCTATCAATCCTTTATTTCGCTCCTTATTTACATTTTGCTTTACTTAAAGGAGAGATACCATACAGCATTTATGCTTTTGTGTCTGATTTGTTTCACTAAACATTATACTTTCCAAGTGTATCCTTTTCCTAGCAAATGTTTCAAATGTATCCTTTAATTTCTGAAAGTAATGAGAAAAATTCCTTTATTCCAAAGTTAAAACTCAAAAAAGAATGGTTTCTGTTCTCCTCACCATATTCCCTGGGTGTTCCCAATCAGATTAAACACTACTTTGAGAATTTATCAAAGGAAATACAGACTTCAAAAAGAACTCAGTTTAAATGATTTGATTTTTCTCCACCCAGATTCATAAATTAACTTTGAAACCCTCTTGAACTTCTGCATATTTCAAATTCCAGTTCCTAGTACAGTGCCATGCTCCCTACAGGCATTCAATAAATGTTAATTGAATTGAATTGAAATTTAATTTGAAGCCTTTGAGGAAACTAAATTTCTCACATTGTGGCAGCTTTTTCCTTTACACCAAGGAGTCTTTTCCCTGGATATATTGTAAATTAATTTTAGAACTTAATGTTTAAATGAAGGCAAAGCAACTCAACAGACAGCTGAAAATTCAGAATATAAAAAGTCTCCCTGTGACAATCAAACTGTTTTCATACCCTCACAATAATTTTTCCCCAGCAAGAAAAAAAAATCAAATGGATAATAATGTGTGTGCACAGCATACTCTAGTGATTTAGATAATAGTTCTTTTAAAACATGCTCCAAAGGGAAGAGCTATTGAGTATTTTGTTGATTCACCATTTACATTAACAATTTTGTTTGAGAATTTTCATGAAGACTTGTGCCATTAAGCACATTATAAAAACCAAAAACTACTCAAAATCTAAAATGGTAACATAGATCTTCAGTCATTCTCACAATAGTAGAGCCTGATTCTTCTGTACTTTCATCTTCACTTGATTTTATTTTGCTTCATTCCCCAGAACAAATGTTCTTACTCATAGAACAGAAGATGAACTGAATTGTATAAAGAAGTTCTGGCTATCCAGAGGACTGTCAAATAAGACATGTTCTCCTGTTTTTCTATTTCTTATTCTTGATCCTCAAGTCTCTTGTTATTTAAGGAAAAAGAGAAAGAGAAGAGCAGGAAAGTGTTCTGTCATATATAAAGAGGGTTTTTCGTAGCCCTCAGAGGAGATGAATGAGGCAAAAATTGGGTTATAAGGAATTTCCCACAATTGTTATCTAGACTCAATCCAAATATATAAAATATAAAAGCTCAATAACAGAAGAAAGCTATTCTCTCCACCCCTAGGTACACATTGCTCAGCAGAAAGAAAAATACCCATCTTCTAACTTTAACCTTAGGCAACAAAATCAGAATTATCTATGATTTGTAGTAGAAAAGAAAGAAACTTTAGTTAGATACTGCTACCACTTTTATAAAAATTTTTATAAATATGACTCAAGGACTTCCTGCTTCATGTAGAGTAAAAGATTGAAATTCATGTAATAGAGGTATTTCCAAGACTGTGAGCAGCCTCTCTCATCTCCAGCTCACTTCAAGCAGGACTCAAAAGCAAACACCATTTCACAAACCAACGGCGAATATTTTAAATTTACCAAACTTGAGTAAGGAAGTTGGGGAATGGTTACATGGTATATTATGTACAAAAATAAATTATAAAGCCTTATTAATCTATTTTGGTTTTCCCCTCTGTGGTGGCCAGCTCCCAAGATGGCCCTCAGTGATCCATATTTCCCAATACTATACCCATGTAAAGAGCTCTTCCACCTGCATCAGAGCTGACTCTGGGTGATCAGCAGTATAGAGTGGAAGTGATAAGAAGTTGCCTCTAAGTTAAATCATAAAAAGTATAAATGCCCACTTGGCCTCTGTCATGTGGACACTCAAGCAGCTCCATGGAGTGCTTGCATGGAGAACTAAGGCCTCCAGCCAGCAGCTAGCACTAACTTGCCAGCTTGGTTAGTGGGTCTTCCATCCCAGTGAAATTTTTAAATGACTAAGTTTATACAAGCATATGACAGGATGAGAGCCATCCAACCAAACCTACCTCTCAGAATCTGTGAGCACAAGGAATGATTATTTTACATTGCAGAGTATAGGAGGTAATCTATAGACAGTATTAGATAGCTGGATACTTCTGATCATCTGCAGTCCTCTCTGGCTACCACCTACTTCTTTTTTACCACTTCTATCACCTGATTTACAGGTATTTTGTAACTCATCTCAGTTACATTCTCATTTCTGGGACTGATGCCCACAAGTTGAAGGAGAAAAGATTTATTTTGGTTCATAATTTGTACAGGTTTCAGTCCACAGTCAGCTGGTTCCAAGGCAGGGAATCATAACAAAGGAGAAAGTGTTCATGGCACAGCAGGCAGGAGCAGCTAGCCTTTCTTTTTTATTCCATCCATGCCAAAAGCCTATTGGTTGGTGCCTTCCTCAGTAAACCCATCATCCACACCCAGAGCCAAGCAGTGGACTAAGCCAGTATCACACACCCATGATCCAGTTACTTCTGAAACCTCTACCTATGAGAATATGAGGCTTATCTAGATATAAGCCACAACAGCACCTACCTCTTAACTCCTCAGAAGTAACATCATTCCCCTTCCATCTAGGTCTTTTTTTTTTTTTGTAATGTGGAACAACTTAGCTCTGTCATCCTTTTTTAGTAGCTAGCTACTCTTTCAATAGCATCTTTTATCTTTAATAATATCAAGTGATTTCCCAGTAATTTATTTTCTTTCACATAAGGAGTCTAGATCATACTTTCTTAAATGAAGTCTCAGATCTCGTGTCACTAACACATCCAGCTCTCAATTTTATTTACATAAAGTTTGCTCACTAAACCAACTTTAAAAGTAAATGAGCCCATCTCATTAAAACTAAAAACTAAACAAACATGGAGAATTTTTTCACCACTCATATTTTTCTTTGTGTGTCCTCATTATTCAACATTACATTCAACTGAGAAATGTGATTTTTAATTACTCATTTGTTTTAGTATTTTGTGACTTCCATGCAATATTTGTCAAGCCCTAAGAAAAAATAACATTCCCCAAAGATGGATCTCTATCACAACAGTTGAAATAATTTCTTAGAAAGTCTTCTGGGTGTTGTAGAGTTTCTGAAAAATGAATAATCTTTTTGTTTCCCTCAAGACATGTAATGTTTTCTTTCTGTTTCACTATTTCATGCTAAATTTAATTAAGTACATTTCACTTTAAAAGTACTTATAGTGACATGACAAAGAATTTCTACTTAACTTACCCATAAGTTATTTCCATTCTAGCCTTAAATATTTAAGATATTATTTCCTACGTTAATTTCATTATCAAAAAGCGCCTACCACGGAAAATGGAATGACTTGTTGCCTCCTTACTTCTCCCAGTGGCCTCATGAAACCTTCTCAGCTTGTGATGTTCAGAAGTCTCCAAGTTCCCACAGCAAGTACTGTACCCCCTTCCTGCTGAATCCTAGCATCCTTGTCACATCCTCTCTTTGTCATGTTTGAAGCTGATTGGGGTTTTTTGTCTTGTTTTCACCTCACTGCAGGAAAAGAAAAATACACTCCCTTGGTTGATAATGCATTCTCAAAGGTTAAAAACAGGAATTTTGTTATTTTTCTAAATCTCTTTTATTTCTAGTCATAAAAAAAATATATTCTTCCAGTCCAAGCTCTTTGAGGTATCTCCATATTGATTTCCATAATGGTTGCACTAGTCTACACTCCCACCAACAATGAAGAAGGGTTCCTTTCTCCCCACAACCCCGCCAACATTTGTTATTGTGTGATTTCTTGATAGCAGCCATTCTTTGTGGGGTGAGGTGGAATCTCAGTGTTGTTTTCATCTGCATCTCTCGAATGACCAGTGATGTGGAACATTTTTTCAAATATTTTCTTGCTGCTTTTACTTCTTTGTCTGAGAAATGTCTGTTCATTTCGGATGCCCATTTTTGAATCGGGTCTTTATATTTGGGGGGACTGATTGTTTTGAGTTCTTTATATATCCTTGATAATAGTCCTTTGTCTGAGGAACAGCTGGTAAAAATTTTTTGCCACATTGTAGATTGTCTCTTAGTTGTGCTGATGGTTTCTTTTGAACTACAGAAGCTTTTTAGTAAGATGAGATCCGA